CCATTGGCCAGCGGGTCTGTGCCACTGGGCTCCAGCCCCTCAGAGCTGCTCAGCTCTGAATCCGAGTCCGACAGGCCATCCTTGAGGCTGGTGTCACTGCAAATGGAAAGGAGGGGATCAGAAGTCCTGTGTGTAGCTAGGAGGGATCCCAGGTCTCTGAAAACCCTTGGGGGGCAGGGGGGCAGAGGAAGGGAAGAGGTTCCACTGCAGGAGGAAAGCATCGAGCCAGACTTCCAGAGTGACTCAAGTGAAATCAGATGTGGCTGTGCCCTGAGCATAGCAATATGACCAGCTCTGAGCTATTAGAATGGAAGAGCAGAGTGCACCCTCAAGACTGGACGGGCTGTCTGCATGCAGAGGATAGCCACGGTGACCTTGTGAGGGCATGTGGATTGTGGACACTGTCATCCCAGAATGCTTTGCCTCCCCTCGGTCTCAGTTCCCCTATCTGCTCAGTGGCTTCCCAGCTCCCAAGCTAGTTCCCTCCTCACCTGGCAGAGTTCAGCAACTTGTCTGTGTCTTCATCATCCTCATCGTCCCCTCCTGAGCCCCCAGGTCCGTCTTCATGGAACCCATTGGGCATCGACATGAGAGACAAGTGGCTCAGGACATTCTCTGAGCGGCTGCTAGAGATGGACCGCCGCAGGGGGCTGCCCAGCTCCCCATCACCACCACCAGCTGCCCCCGGGTCCCCTTCAGGCCCCATGTCCCCAATGCCTAGTCCAGCCCCAGGCTCAGGGCTGTCTCGAGCCCGCTGCTGGATGAGAGGTGTGAGGGGGGCCTCGAAGCTGACACAGCTGTCACTCTCGTCAGTGAGACTCAGCACATCTAATGAGTCCAGGCTGCTGTACTGAGTGCCCCGCAACAGCTCTGACTCCAGAATCTTCTCAAACGTGGCACTGAAGCCATCCCGCACATCTGGCTCCCCAGGGCAATCCAGCCTATAGAATGCAAGAGAATAGTCACCATCCTTCCTAGATGTCTCCCCACACTAAGGCTAGCTACCATACCATGTGTTCTAGGAGCCGAACACAGTAACAACACACACACACACACACACACACACACACACACACACACACACACACACACACACACACACACACACACACACACACACACACACACGTCTCATGCATATTCATACACTCCTGTGTAAATGCCAATGGACAGGCTAGACACACATACATGAGTGCAAACACACATAAACACACATGTGCCCCCCATGCATACTTACACATCCTTTTGCATGTACCATGTAAAGGCTGGAGATACCTTCATACATATATTTATACACCCCTGTGCAGTTGCCCATTCAGGCCAGACAGGCCTATACCTATACTCTACCAGACTTGTGTATGATCTTCCCAGACTTATTGGTCTTTAGACATTGCCCTCCTCCTTGTCCAGTGGTACTCCAAGACCAGTCTCTCCAACTTCTGCTGACAAACAGACTGTAACTCTGCTAACTAGGATAGACACAAAGTTTCTGGTACAACTTATTCAAAATCCCAGGAAAGTTCCCTGGGAGGGACAAGCACATAAGGCCTGGATTCCTGGGGCCATCTTGAGGTAGGAGAATGGAGCAGATAACCTGTCTTCCACATTTAGATGTTTGAGTGGACTTGAAGCTCCACTGTCAGATGGAGAGACAGCCCCTCACAGAAACTGCTCATTATGGGTTGTGGGGGCCAAGTGCTGGGGAGGAGGGGAACAGCAAGCCTGCTTGCGTCTGAAATCCCCTACAGGGGTCTATCTTTTCAAAACACTCAGAAGCTGAAAATGGGGACAGGAAACCCCAGACTCCCAGAGAGACTAAGGGGCTAGCCCCAGGTGATTTCATAGAGTTAGAAATGTGAGTGCCCGGCCCGGGTACCCACTCACCCCAGCTGAGGGTCCTCAGCATCTGGACAGAGACTCCTGGAGACATCCTCCTCCTCCTCTGCTGGCCCACTAGCCCTCCAGGGCTTGGATTCCATAGAATCTTCCAGAATGTCCCCATCTTGTCCCAAGGCCAGGCCATTGGTGAGAGAGAGGCTAAGGCCAGGCAGGGCCACATCTGGGTCTCCCAGAGATTCCATGGTGCCCTCTAAGGTGTCTCTCTTCTCACTGCCTGGACTGCTGATGTGACTGCCTGGGCCTTTACTGGCTTCCATTCCATTCTGGACCCCAGGCTCCCCTTTAGGTTCCAGGTTGGGGTCCTGGATAGCACCTCCTTCCTCACGTTGTTCACATGGGAGCTTTTCTTCATCCATGACAGTCACTGCTTCCTGACCCAGCCTGCCCTAGGGCTCAAAAGCAAAAAAGGGGGGGGACAAAACCTGACAGAAGATGGAGAGAGAAAGACAGAGTCAGTCAGAAGGGCAGAAGTCAGAGTGTCCAAAGCCCTGTGAAACCAATGTGGGACAGCCATCAGGACTAGGGGCCTGGCCGTGATGATCTCCTTAGTAACTTTCAATTGGGGAGTGAGCTCAGGTTGTGACACCCTCACTTCAATGGCCATCTCTCTCTCTCTCTCTCTCTCTCTCTCTCTCTCTCTCTCTCTCTCTCTCTCACACACACACACACACACACACACACACACACTTTGCAGCTCTCCTCTGGCCCGAGGCTGGGACCTTGTACCCTAGCCCCTGCCTTCTCTATTACTTCTTAGGATCTCTGTTGTGTCCTTCAGAATCCACCAAAGTCCCTTAAGGAAGACCCAGGTAGTGAGGAACTGGACAAGTGTCCAACACTCTCGAAGGCCCCTCTGTATTACTGCTAGTGAGAGGAGTAATGTGCCTCTCCACATGTTTTCAGCTCTGGCTGCATGAACCTGAATTCATGACAAAAGGAGGAAATTGACCCAGGAGTTGCCTTTAAAGGGGGCACTAAGAGAAGTCACGGAAAAGAAGAGAAGTACAGTTTGATGCTGATAGAGAGCATTCCAGGGAGGGCAGAACAGAGCCTGGAGACAGCCATGAGCCACAGGGGGCCCACCGTGCGCCGCTGTCCAGGGTGCTGGGCGGGTGCAGCGCTGCACTGAGAGGCAAGGCTGCCCCTGCAGCACCAGCGTCTGGCGATGGCAGAAGAAAGGAAAAGGGGGTCCAGGGCTCCCTTCTTCATGAGGGCTGCCACAGGAGTTCACCAAGTCTTAAGGAAGAACTTGAGAAAGATGTCTGAGAATCTCTCTGGGGAAAGTGAAGCAGGAAGAGCCACACCCTGCTCTGCCCAACCTCCAGAGATGACATTCCCCCCCAATGTCATCCTAGCTAGGAAGGCGGAAGCCACATACTGGCCAATTCTCTCCTCTCTGCCCCAGTCCCCTGTAGTCTAGGCTATCCTTCAACTTGACCTGAGCCAGAGACACAAAACAGTCCTGTCCCAGCACCCTGGAAAGCTGCAGAGCCAAGTGCCTAGACTTTCCTCTGTCTCTGGTTTGTGTTACTTCCTTGCTCCACTATGTGAGCCCCAACATCCTGCTTTCTTCTGGAGAGGCCTGTCTGGGTTCAGGAGCAGCTGTAGGAGGAGGAGAAGGAGAGTCAGCTTTCTGGTATGCAACAGAAGATGCTGCAGTGTGAAGATAAGGACGTGAACCCAGTGTCTGCCTACTCCTGAGTCTCACCTGGGGACTCAGCCCGCCAGGCCTGCCTCAGGCTACCAGCTCAGGCCTGCAGGAAACAGAGGTCAATTCCAGGAAGACTTTGCACCTATGTGAGCCCAGAGAAGAAAGTGAGTTCCACTCTCTGGGGACTCCTGGGCCTCTGAGGGGAGCTCAGCTACTATAGACCAAAAAAACATGTAACCCTGCATTTTCAAATACTACTGAGTAGAGAGAGAGAGAGAGATTTGTTGCCTCAGCCTGACTCATTGTCACCACTTAGAATTTGGATGTTTGGGGGTTTGGGGGGTTGTTTTGTTTTGTTTTGTTGAGACAGGGTCTCTCTATATAGACTACCTAGAATTCTAACAACTGCACTAAATCTGAAATTACACACACACACACACACACACACACACACACACACACACAACC